AATTAACAACTAAATAAAACCCATTACATTTGAAAGCCCATAAGATCTTTTGATATAAATAATTATTTAAAACAAAACAAAAATTCTCTCTTTTTTCCTTCAAATTATCATCAAATATCAGGTCTCCTCAATCTTATTTTATTACTCTAGCCTGCTGCATCAGATTTATGCGTTCTTCTTTTTAAAGAAATATGGATAAACAACAAGATACTACTAGCAATTTTTTAGTTTACTTTCTCAGAAAACAATCTTTTAGTTTTAAGTTTGATAATTATTTTGCTTTATTTTTAGGTAGAAATATTCCCAAATTATTATCCAAATATAGTTCAACTTTTGGCTGACTTTTCGCAGGAAAATACAATTTCACAGTTTTTTTAAAAAAATGCAATTTGACGATTTTGGCGAAAAATGCAATTTCTCAGTTTTGTTAGGAAAATACCATATCTCGGTTTGACGAGAAAATAATTTTTTTTGGCTTTGGCGGGAATAGGGAATTTCTCAGTTTGGCGGAAGTAGGGGATTTGTTGGTTTCGAAAGAAAAATATGATTTTCAGTTTTGGTAAGAAAACATAATTTTCGGTTATGGTGGGAAAAGCGAATTCTCGGGTTTGGCGTGAAAATGTGAATTTTCAGTTTTAGTAAGAAAACAAAAAAATGATTTTGACGATAAAACAAAATATCTTAATTTTGACGGGAAAATGTGATTTTTGGTTATGATGGGAAATGCAACTTTTCAATTTTGACTAAAAAATGTTATTTCTCAGTTTTGATAGGAAACACAAATTTTCCACTTTTGATGGATCATATGATTTCTTGATTTTCGCAGGAAAATGAATTTTTTTAGTTTTCGAGAGAAATTGCAATTTTTTCTGTTTTGATGGGAAATGTACATTTTCAGTTTTTGACAAATAATGCGATTTTTTGGTATTTGTGGAAAAAAATTCCTCAGAAGATAATTTAATTTTTGGTTTCGCGAGAAATTGTAGTTTATCGGTTTTGGTCGGAAAGCGCAGTTTTTGGATTGACGAGAAAATAAATTATTTGATTTTAGTGGGAATAGACTATTTCTCGGTTTCCGGGGGAAAATGAATTTTTCGATTTTGACGGAAAAATACGATTGTTGGGTTTTTGTAGGAAGATAAAATTTTTTAGTTTTGGTGAAAAAATATAATTTCTCGGTTTTGGTGAAAAAACACAGTCTCTCGCGGGAAAATGTGGTTTCTTGGTTTTTGCGAGAAAATACAATTTCTCTGTTTTAGTGGGAAAATAAAATTTTATGTTTGACGATAAAATGATTTTTTTGGTTTTTGCGGGAATATGTGATTTCTCAGTTTTCGTAGGAATATGTAGTTTTTTTTGTTTTGACGGGAGATGCGATTTCTCGGTTTTTGTAAGAAGATAAAATTTCTCTTTACTAAAATTTCAAGTTACAATATGTTTACAATAACCAAAATTTAATTATTTAACTTCAACTAAATCGAAAGTTCACGAGTTTAAATAGAATTTTCTGTTTGGTTCGAAAGCAACAACAATGGTTTTAATATGAATGTTATTGATTATAGTTTGGTAGTTTTAGAAACATATGCTTATAATTAATATTTGATAAATAAATAAATTTTATACTTCAAAATAATCATATTAATTAATAAATCTTTTTTTAAATGGTATTTTGCTTTACATAATTACAACGAAGGATCAAGTGGCAATTTAGTGGAGAAAATATATTATAGTTACCATTAGCATGAAAGTACTTAAAAATATATTGCTTTATTCTTATATATATATTTATAGTTAGTTAGCTAAACAAATTTAATAGCTATATATAATTTTAAAAAGTAAAAAAATTAAGAATATACAATATTTATTCAGATTTAAAATATATAAATATATAACTTAAACTAATAAAAAAATAAAAATATTCATTTATATTATAAAAATAAATTTATTATATTAAAAATATATACAAAATTTAGAAAAATATCTCGCAGCGTAGTGCAGGATAATAAGTCAAAATATATGAACCAATAGGCGGCAACCACAACAAGAGCAAAAGAATAGTATACTGAGACAACAAGAAGAAACATAGGAACAAAAGAATAGTATATTGGGACAACAAGAAGAAATAAAGCTCACCAAAATACATTATAAAACAGTACTAAATAATTAACAGTAAGCTGAATTTTTTAACGATAAACTATAGTGATAAGACTATAAGTGGTTATAAAATAGTTAAAAATTGTAAAAAAAAAGAGCTATAAACAAAAATGATACAAAAAAACTGAGTGCTACTAACGTTTTTCGTACTGTATAAGTTTTATCGTACTTTTTTGGTTTGCGTTACCAATCAAAACTTATGTAACCACAAATACAATAAGCTCTACTCCAATGGTACAAAACACATCCTTAGAGCATGATTACCGGAGAGACGAGATAGAAGTTTTAAAAGTTTTTTATTATTAAAAAATCAATTTTTTTAAAACGATTTTCAAAAAAAAAATTAACTAATTAGGCATTGCCACGTTATAGAGGAGATGGTTCTGCAGACTCACAGAGAAGCGCTCCTGCTTCCCAATCTCGCCACGTCATTTTTTTTTTTTCTTTTTTTTTTTCAAAACTCTTCAAAAAATCACCATTAATCATACTCTTATAAAGAATGTTGTTACATGGAGGATAAAACAGAAAATTGACAGTCAATAAAAGGGAACTCGCGGCAAACATCGAGACTAGTTGGCTCAAAATGATCAGGGCTAATGCTTATCATCAACTCCTATTTGACCTATGCGACCTTGATCAGGGCTAGCTAATGCTAATCCATCTCCAGGACAAGGAAAACGTCTTCTCCCTGATCCAAGAATATACTTGAATTTCTGTCCTTCAAAATCCAAAAATGAATCGAAATGCCTCTATAAATTCTTCTGCATCTGGTCCCCAAGTTAAAGTGTCTCGTTGGATTGCACAGTACTCCTCAAAAGATAACATAAATAGAATGTTTTTTTTTTTAAATAGAATGTTTCCTCAAAAGATTAAAGATACCTTCGAGGAAAATTCAACATCGATGATGATGCTGGTAGAAGTTTGGGAAGCCTTTAATTTTAGGTGACGTGTGGTTAATGGTTTATTGGTTTTATTGACCGGCTTAGGATTTGGTGCTAACGAATTAATATCATTTACTAACGTTATTAATGGTGACATATTTGTATTTTTCTCGAGACAAGTCCACTTGATTTTTTTTCAGCGAATTGGCCTGGCCCGCTACACAATTTGAATATTGGGTAGGATGACATCGTTTTGGAGATATATTGTGATTTAAAATAATTTTGGGTTATTCATTTAATTGTTATGAAAAACATTTCAGAATGTGTTATTTTTTATTTTAGTATCTAGTTTATGATATAAAAATTAATATTACAAGTATTTTGCTTTCTTAAAACATCATATGATTATTAGACACTAAAATAAAATAAAAACTGAACTAAAAATAAAATATAATGTTATAGAAGAAAATTTTCGTTCAATAAACAGTTAAATGAATTCCAAAATCAGACTTAAAATTTATTTTGAAAATTTTAGAACAATATATCACATCATTGTTATCTACCTAATTTTCTCAGTAACCTACTACCAAAAAAAACTGAATACAAATGTGTACATGCTAAAGATGATCTAGCTCAACCTCACATAAACTAAGAGATCACATAAACTAAGAGCACCTCTAATGTATCATACTGTTTTTCCTTTCAAAATAGAATAATTGTAAAACAAAATTGCATTTTTCTCTAATATATGATTATAATTTTATATCAATTCTTTTCAGTTTTATTATTTATTGTTAATTGATCTATAATTTCTTTAAAATTTATAAATTAATCCAATAAATTTTTTCCAAAACTTTCATAAACTATAGTATTTTTTATTTTTAATTAATTTAATATAAAAATATACTATTTCACTATATAAAAATGATAAAAAAACAAAGTAGATTTTAATTATGGTTATAGTTATATTAGATAAATTTTATTTGTATTTTAATTTTAGAGATTAAAGTGTATTAATATTTATGATTGTTTATAAAAGAAATTATCAATAAAATAATGATTTATAAATCAGAAAATAAAATTATTCAAAATTTAAAGGACTAGTTTATAAATAAAAAACTTTCAACATTAAAATAAAATATAATATAAAATGGGTTTACATTTGGAAGAAAAAATAATACCATTCTTTATTAGAAAAAAATAGCACCAAATTTAGGATAGCATTAAAAATGCTCTAACCAAGGAAACCTCCCAGTTTTTGGAACTAACAACCAGCCTCACATTAATTATAGTGTAATTATGAAATTAGCCACAAAAGAGAGAGAAAGAAGTGAAAAAAAAAAAATACTCTTTGTGTTTCTTTTTTAAAAATTTCTAACTAAAAGTGCATAGAATGAGAAATTAGTTTTTAAAACAAAATATCATTTAATAATTAGTTAAAAACATAACGCACTAGTAAAAACTTATAAAAAAAATTATTACATTTTATATTACAGATAAAGGAAGAATTATCAAATACTCTCTCTTGTTTCATAATATAAGTTGTTTTGAAGCTTTTATTTTATTTGATAGTATAATTTGTTTGCATATGTTATAATGTTACTTTTAACTTTGTTGAATACTGTGTGACCAATTGTATTATATAGTTTATTATATTGTAAATAAAAAATACTTTTTAATATTTATATAAATATTTTAAACAATTTATATATTAAAACAGAAAGAGTAAAATACGCATTTATTGATTTCAACAATCAACTAACTCCTCGAGAAAAACAGAAGCCAAAGTCGGTCCACATCACTATTTACATATCCGTGTCCGCTGAGTAAGCCATGTTTAAACCTTTTTCCACCTTACACACTTTTACTTACCAAATCTTCTACCAATTATATAACAGAGTCCAACGAAAGCAAAGTCAGACGATTTTTCGTTTTCCTTTTGTATTTGATATTATATAATTGCAGATTTGTTTTATTGTACTTCGAAGAACAGATTCATGGCTTCTGTTGGAAACACACTCTGTCTCCTTGCAACTTTACTTCTAATCTACCAGAAGACAGCCACTTGCGATTTCCTCTCTCCTCTCCTCTCTCCCATGTTCGGTTTGTCTCTTCCTCTTCTCTCTTGTATTTTCAAATAGTGGGTTGCTTTCAAAATCCAATTTTATTTTCTGGGTTTTGCTCAAATCTAATTTTTGGTCGAAGTTTTTAATCCAAATCTAATCTCTCTCCGTAATCATCGATGTATTTAACTTATTTGTCACAAGTATATTCTGTTGCTAGTCAAAGTCAAAGATTCTGATTTTTTGTTGACTAGTTGCTAAAAAAAACCTTAGTTTCTATTTCATTTTGTTTTCTTAGGCATGTAACTGGATTCTGCCCAGATTAGGGGTTTAACTACTCCCGCCGGAATTTGAACTATAGATCCAAGAAAAGGACAGACTTTTGCTGCTTTTTTACAGAAATAAAGTATCTTTATGAGTTGGGTTTTTAGTAAAAAAAAAAAGTTCTTCTTTAAAGAGTCCTGAAAATTCGAATTTAGTATGTTGTGACTAATGTGAAGTTGGCTGATTTTATTCTTGTGGAAAACAAATAAAGAAAATATATGCAAACAAGTGGAGTGTGGGAAAGGAAAATGTAAAGCACCTTCAAATTCAACTTTTGGGTATGAATGTGAGTGTGATAATGGTTGGAAGCAGTTAGATCATCACCTCAAGTTTCTACCTTGCGTCACGCCCAACTGTAAAAAATTCACTCTCTTGATCATTAGTTACTTTGTTTTTTTTGATCATATAGAAACATAACAGTGTACATTGATCTCTATAGGTACCTTTGATCTAACATGCGGTGAAGCAGGTCCTCCAACACAGCCCAAAACGCCTCCTAATGATAACAATGCCTCAATTTTCGATGGTAATGATCTGTGATCTTGTTTGCTTCGATCCTCTATGTGTAAATATAAATATGATGACTCTGGTGTTATTATGTAGCTTGTCATTGGATGGATTGTGGAGGAGGGTTTTGCAACAAGACAAATCCGTTTCTATACAGATGCAATTGCCATGAAGGTTACAGAAATCTTATGAACATCACCACACTTCCTTGTTTCAAGCAATGTAAGAAGAACAATCTTAGGATATCTTATTGATTGTTATTTGAAACAAAGACTTGATTTGTGGGTTTTGTGTTTTGGAAGGTGCACTTGGAATGGACTGCTTGAATCTTGGGATCCCTTTGTCGAAAGCATCACCATCACCTCCACCTGCTCTACCTGACAGCAGCAAGAATCAAGGTTTGATCAAGATATTATATTTTTTATATTATTAAGACCTTAATTACTAAAGAAGTTGAGGTTTGTTTAAATTGCAGCAGCAGGATTGAATCTAAAAGGATCGTCGTTTTGGTTGATAGCATCTCTACTATGTGTCTCTCTATCACCATGGAGCCTGCTCTACATTTGATCTCTTTTACTTTTGGTTTCAAGTTTTGTGTACAAATCGATTTTCTTTAGATGTTTTCTGTTGAGGGGTAATAAACTGTTTTTGTATTTCTTCGCTTCTTCTCTGTTTTACTCTTTGGTTCATCATTTTTGTTATCTCTAAGACAAAAAAAAATACTAGATCCCCCAGCAATATCCTACGTATGTTAAATTATTCAATAATAGATTTTTATAGAATATAAATTCAAATATAGTTTTTTTTTCAACTGATTATATTAAACTTAAACTTTAAAACAGGATTATAATAGCAGATAGAACTAATGATTCAGTGCCAAGAAGTGATCAATAATTGCAGAAAAATAGATCAAAGTAGTAAAAAAATAGGTTATGCATCTTAAGCCAAAAACAAAAATTGAATGCTTCTTTTTGAACTTCTAGGATTGATCTGATAACGATTGGAAGTTCTTCTACTATTAGAGTCAAGTGAACAACAATAATAGCTCGAAGTACCGCTACAGCTGAACGTTTATGAAAATTCTCCATAAAAAAGAAGAGTAAAATTCTAAAATACGTCAGTAAGTTGGCAATACTCAAGAACTGCAGCATTGGATGAAGCACCGTTGGAGGAGGATTGTTGCCATCGTCGGGTACTTCTAACTCCTGAATATGGTCGAAACTGAATGGAAGAGAATTGTTGCCGTCGTCGACTACCTCTAACTCCCAAACAGAAGAATAACTTGCTAAATACAAGGGCTGAATGGTCACGGACCTCACAGCCCGCCAAAAGTTCAGGACATAAAACTCTTGTTGGGCTAAGTTTGTAAAGCAAACCCAAAATTTGGTCCACCTGGTCTAGGCCCATTAAGGCCCATCAGATGAGACATAGCAGCTACGGTTGGCTGCGTTAGAAGCTTGACGGAACAAAGGCCAGGAGGATTCACTGGCAAGAAACCGGATTGGACTGACAGAGCTTTCCACAAATGAAGGATTACGCGGCAGCAGTGATATGGGTGGTGGTGGACAGCAAATCAAAAAGCTCCAAATGAAAAGGGAAGAAGAAGGTGGCGGCGAACAGAAGCAAAGATCCAAACTTATAGCAAAACCCTGAGTAGGGCTTAGTGGGCTAAGCCCATTAAAACAGTTAAGTGGGTTAGGGATGTGTGAAAAGAGTGGTTGTAACATTGCCAATAACACACTTCTGACGGTTCTCCGGCGAAGGTGATATGTGTCTCGCAAGTGAAGAAATGACCTGAGTATTTAGAAGAGTAAAGCAAATTATATATTAGATTTAGAGCATCTTCAACCCTATATCAAATCTGGATTTAAATTTCATTTTGAAATAAAATGTACCCTAACTCCATCTCATCTTCAATTTCATAATTGTATAATCCTATTTTTGATTCTAAATATGAAATCATTTTATTTTGAAATTCTATTTTGCAATTGACTTTTTTATTTATAAACTAGTCCTTTTAAATTTTAAATATTTTTATTTTAGGAGATAACTAATTATTTGATAATTGTTTTAGTGATGATTATAAATATTAAAACATTATAATCTCTAAAATTAAATGTAAATAAGATTTGTTTGATAAATAAATATAATAATATAAACCATAATAAATTTAATTTTTTGAAATAAATTAAATGAATAAACCAATTTGTAAATTTTGCTATTAATAATAAAAATATATAATAATAATTCTTTTTAAAATAACAAATGCAATCATACATTGGAAAAATATCCAATTACATTTTACAATTATTCCATTTTAGTATAAATAATCTCTACAATATTATTTGAGAAGTACATTTTTCAAACAATCAAAAAAATGAATGTTATTACAAAAAATGCCACTACGATTAATAAGAAATACTGTTTGGCAACAGATTTATTTAGGATCATTTTTGGCGAGTTCAGTGAGTTAACTCGGCCTTCTTAACTCGAGTGTGTCCAAACAAGAAAATCCGACCCGATACTCCATTTCAAATAACGCGGATCCTTCAAAAACTTAAAACAAACTGGATTATTTATACATTTTTGGAAGCCCGGTTCTGAAAATCTAAAATTCACACAAGAATGGTATCAAAATAAAGATTTGAATCAGTTTCAATCGATCATATATCTTCGCTAACTATAAAATATTATAGAGATTATCTAATTTATGTTTCTCATAAATCAAATATATTCACAAATCACTAAATCATAATATTACGGCAAATGCTACATCTTCACTTGGAATCTAAAATATCTGGATATCCTACATTCCCGAATAACTACCTAACATTCAAATTCATTAATAAAAGATCTAAACAATCTCATAGTTATTATTAAATTGTAAATGTTGTTATGGCCATAAAAATATCTCAAAAAAGATTCGCAAGTAAAACAAGTGATTGAAAAACCTATTGGACTTTAGTATAAATGTCTGACTAACGCTTCTGTCAAACACTTGCTTAAAGACTTTATAGTAAAGATCGTACCTTTATTAGCGCTGAAAGGTAGCATGGCTTCCAAACTTCCACTTACCCCTGTCGAAGGTATTAAGCCTTTCAAATCTAGTTGGAGGATTCAGGTCAAAATCCTGCACATATGGAAGCAGTTTGCTTTCGCATCAGGAGAATCAATCGAAATGATTTTGGCTGACAAAGAGGTATGAGTTAATCAATCCCTATTTTTCAACTTATTATTGTTATAGATCATATCACATTATCTTTTTTCCTATCTGATATATTCACTACTTTCAGGGTACGAAAATTCATTGTTCTGTAGAAAAACAGCATCTTAAGAGATATGAAAAACATCTCTCCGCAGGGAACTGGAAGTTTATTGAGGAGTTCAACGTTAGCCATTCTATCGGTCAAAATATGACTACCAAACACTGTTACCGTATTAGTTTTGTGAAAGACACAATTGTGACTAATTCTGTTACGGTATCAAAGTCAGATTACTTGGATTTGGTTCCTTACAATCAGATTCATAATGGCAAGCACCCCCAGAGCATCCTGTGTGGTACGAAGTAATATTTAATTCTAAATCTATGTAAACAGATATCATTGATTTCTATCTAACTATATCTATATTTTCAATATAGATGTGATCGGGCAAATAATGAATGTGGGTCAACTGTCTACTATGCATGTTAATAACAAAAATGCAAAGAAGATTGATTTCGAACTGCAGGATGAGCTGTAAGTATTATCTAAATTTAATTGAAAGCTGTAAGTTGTTTCTACATTTATATGTTTTGAAGCCATAGGTTTTTAGCGTATTTTTGATACTTTATTCTCAGTGATATGCGTATAAGCTGTACCTTATGGGGATCTTTTGCTGATCAAATCGTTGAAGCCACTTCCAATCCTAACAGGGAAAAAGTAATTTGTCTTATTAGATTTGGAAAAATCAAAGAGTTCAGAGGTAGTGATTATTTTGGACATATATTTACTCCACTATATTTATAATGTCATTCCTGTTTCTTACTATGACTTTTAATATGACAGAAATAAATTGTGTTTATAACGCTTTTGATGTCAGTTTAGTAATCCTAAACCCACCAGGGGCAGAAATCCAAGATTTTTTGAATGGGTTAGTTCCTATATACGATCACCTTTTTTACAGTGTATATTTAAACTTTCCTCATGAAATCTTGCATTTTATAGATTACCAGATGATGGCCTAGCCCTTACTCTATTGGAAACTAAACCCAAAAAGGAGATTGTAGCCAAGACCGACGATTACTGGACCAGTTTCCTATGGTCACTGTCTCTGAACTTAGAGAAATAACTGAGGTTTTCAATTTTTTTGACTATAATGTTTATCTGTATACTTATATTTTATTGTTATTTCTGTATTCTAATAATTCGGTAAATGTTGTAGGTTGAAAAAGTCAGGATCATCTGCACTGTCTATGCAATTGACACTGATTGGGGATGGTACTATTTTGGATGCAAAATAAAAAATCACAAGAAGGTTAGGAAAATAGTGGCAGGAATCAATGAAGCGGTTCCTTTGGGAGCGAAACCTAGGTGGTATTGTAATGAATGCAACAAGACTGTCACCAACGTTGTGCCCAAGTCACAAATTTTTTTTATTTTGATACCATTCGCTCTAAGCTATCATAATATTCATAACATATTGTCCAATTACAATGCCAGGTTTAAGTTACATCTGAAGGTTATGGATACAACAAGTGAGATTACTATATTGTTACTCGATACATCGGCAACTGAGATGTTAAAATGCCAAGCATCAGACTTGCTTAATGGATCATTCGATGAGGTTTCGTTTAAAATTTTCATGCTTTGCTTTTATTGAATCTCAGTTGCCAATATATTTGCTGCTTACCAAATATGATCGTGTAAGTACGTTGATTCAGTTTATTTCTCAAATCCATAGATCGACGGTCCTGAAGATCTCCCACCAACGATCAAGAACTTAGTTGGAAGAACATTTCAGTTTGTTCTTGCTGTTGATAAAGAAAATCTGGGTGGTGGTCACTATACTTTCAAGGTTTACAAGATTTTGAGTAACAATGGTATGGTTGAAGATTTGACAGTTGATGATTCAGAAAAGCCAATTAATATTTCTGAATTGGTTTCTGGTGATGAGGTATATTACTATACTAATTGTTGTAGGTGTTTATAATTCGAAGTGGTTCCTTAACCATAATCTATTGTATTTTGAATAGGGTTTGTTAACTCTTACCAACACTGAGTCAAATAACGATTTTGATAATCGTTTCCAAGTTACCCCTACTTCGAAAAGAAAAGATGACACTATAAGCGAAGTTTTCGAAGATCAACATTCAGCAAATAAGAAACAATGCCTAGGCCCGGTCAAAATCGAGAAGTTTGGGAGTGATATCAAAAGTGGCTAATGTCGAAAGTTTTAATAGCTTTCTGCTGAGTGAGTTGTGTGCTATTTGATTTTTATTTCTCTAAAGCATTGTCTAATTATTTATTATTACTCATTCTATGCTTTGTCATAAAACACACTACTTCAACATTATCTTAAGTGATTCAATTATTTTTTGTCTTCCTTATTCACTATCTTTTAATTGCTTTTTTATATAACTATGTTATCTAATTCATATAGTAGTTTTTTATTCTCTATATTGTCCTAAACTGGCGTGTTGTGATTATCAACAACACTAGATGAATATATATGGAGCCTAATTAGCTTTGTCGTTACATATATGAATAAGAAAACTTACCGAGAAATGAAATTTGGACGGTGTGTTATTCCTGTATCACATCTTTCCCGATTTTTAACCAATGCAATTAAATGTACCTGTAAAAAAAAAAGAATTTTCTTAACCGAAATAGAAGTAAGAGATACATATATGGTTATCCAATATTTAGATATTATACGTATAGGCATCATTTGCATCTTTTCAATTGATGTCTTTTAGGTTGTTGATAATTTTAAATTTGAATTTAAGATGCATCTTTTCGATATTATCGAAAATCCTAATCGTTGTTTTGCTATATATATGAAGGAAGACCATTTGTGCTTCTATCGCCCGAAACCTCTCATTGTTCTCTCTCTCTTTGAAACCCTATATTTTTCAGTTAACTATGGATGGTATTTTTCACAATATCAGGAATTTAAACCAGTGGAGATCTAACTGGTACATTCGTATCATGGTTTTTAAGTCTTGGGAATCCCAATCTCAAGGAGAAAGCGAAGTGTTAAACTTCATCTTTGTCGATGAAGAGGTATGTTTTACTTCATCATATTCTATATCGTTACTTGAAACTGTTCTTTTAGTAGTATGTTTGTCTAATGTATACTTTATTAAAACTTTGTAGGGTGATAAAATTCATGCTATATGTGATGATATTCAGAACCAGCCATATTACAGAACAAAACTAATTGTTGGTAAATAGTTTAAGTTGCATCATTTTACTGTCTTCGAAAGTGATGCAGTTAATCGTTTGGTTGATTGCATGTGGAAAATTCGTCTTCTCGACAACACTGATGTGAGGAAAGAGTATGATGTAACCGATGAGCATTACATGAAATTTACAAGTTTTGATGATGTTCTTGCTGGAAGATTCAACCGTGTCCTACCTGTTCGTAAGTATTTTTAGTTTGTTTATAAGTTAAGCTTTGTTTACATAATTATTAGTTAACATATATTTATTTTTCGTCTATTTTGTCAGATGTTTTGGGTAGGATATCTATGCTTACAGATATTGTCAAAGTAAAAGATTCGGACTTTGGTCATGTGTGTCATGCCAACACTTGCAGTCTCAAATTTGCTATTCAAAACACACAGTACGTTTTAATTTCATATATTGTATTGATAATCATGAATGATCTGGATTTATAATTCACATATGTTCAAACTGTCTCTACTATTATATGTGTTTTGTCTTTCTTAATAATTCAATTTTTATTTCATAGAGGGACAAACTTAAGTTGCGTTGTTCATGAAAAACTTGCCCTTCAAATCACTAAAAAATGGTGGAATTTCAATTCGAACAATATGGTTGTAATCCTAAGTGATTTTCGTGTGGTCAATGTTGGAGGTATGTTGAAAAATATAACTATTCAAAATAATTAAAAAATTTTAAATTGTACACTTTGAGCGAGTTATATGTTTCTTTTTATATAGAAAATATTCGTTTGATTGATGCGGGAGAAGTACCAACAGTTTTATACGATCCAGACATTTCTGAGGCTAGAAGATTTAAGCGTGCATCGTAAGTAGTTTAAACCTTTTCTGAGTTTATTACATTTATAATTTTTAATTGTTATAACCATTTCAACATGTTGTTTCCCATTATTTCAGAAATGGCAATGATGAAGATTCTGAATAGCCTATTCGCAGTGTTTTGCCAATTCCTATCATTAAGAAACTTTATTTTAAAAAATATTCTCCTTTGGTCTCCCATTTCTTATTCATTTCAATATGTTGAACAATTTAATATTTTCGGGGATAACTACTACATTTTATTCATATTCATGCCTGTTTTTCCTATTACTACTTTTGTTTGTGGTTGTGTAATATACGTTTTTAAGCATTTCGAAACAAACTATTTTCTGGCAAAATCTACAACATAGTTGAGAAAAATCGCTTACCTACAAATCGTCGGCAGTCTGAGGGTGCTATCGTCGCCAGACACTAAACATAGGATCTTGATGATTTAATTGTACCCTACAACAATCATACAAATTGTAGTTACTTATTAAAATCATCTTACCAAAATTTATAACAGATTTAAGGATAGATTTCTCAACTAATTTATGATATAGTTCAATTCTGTACAATGTTCTAAATTTGCTTTTTGATTATCCATAAAACTGGATCAAAAATTTATAGAGAATATACCTTACATACCTAATTGCCTCTGTCGTTACATATTTTTGCCTGATTACTTTATTCTTCAAACTTCACCTTGGTATTTACAATCCGCATAGTAAAGTGTTCTTTTGCTGTCAAAATAAACCAGTAAATGAAAAAGTATTGTTACTTTCAAAATATAATCATGAAAAAGCTTTTGCTGTGCGGACTGAAAAGTTTCTAATGGGTAAACTTACCGAGAAATGAAACTTTTCAGTGTGTTGTCGTATCAAATCTTTCCCGTTTTTGAGAAAATGCAATCAAATCTACCTGTCAAAAAGAAACTAATTTTGATACTCGAGATACGGCCTAAAATATCGAATAAATAGATATCAACCGATATATATGTATCACGTTAACCTACAATATCTCTCCCTATATATACGGTCTCAACACATAGCAGTTCTATCATGTTCTAAAAAAAAACTACCCATTATACTACTTAATTTTCCACAACTGAAGCAATGTCTGAGTATGATAAAATCATAGATCTGCATCCATGGAAATCGAATTGGAAAATGCGTGTCAAAGTTCACAGAAAATGGAAAACAATTGCGATTGACGGAGAAGAGTCTATCCATTTCTTATTGAGTGATGAACGTGTAAGTATCATTTTGCCTAGAGTTCTTATTATTGATGAGTTTGATTTTGTTTTTGGTCGATTTCATTCTACTAAGGAATAAAGCTTTTTTCGAACACATTTATGATTTAGGGAGACAAGATCCATGCTGTTTGTAACTGGGCGTGGTTGTATGCCTATTTCAACAATCTCATGCATGAAGGACAGTGGAAAAAAATCAGCAACTTTACAGTTGTTGGTGTCGTTAGTGTGCAGCGTTTAACTGACACACAGAAGGAAATTCATTTCCTTGAGAACACAGATGTTAAGCAATCTAACTATAACTCCGAAGAGCACTATCTGTCATTCAAACCATTTGCTGATATCTTTCATCCTGGTGTACATATAAATCACCCTGTTGGTAAGATCTCTAACTAACACTATTATATTTTTCCCTTACAAATCGCTTTGTTAATGGTTTTAAGATCTTCATATAGATGTCATGGGGAGAATCACTAATGTCGAGAATCTAGAGTTAGTCCATGATGACTTATTTGCAGCTGATGTTCCTAAAATGATTTGTCGTCTGAGATTTAGGATCGTCAATAATGAGTAAGTATTTATTGTTAATGATTAAAATTTCCTTAAGTATACATATTGTATGGCTATTAATTTAATTATTTGATTACAGTGATCATGATATACTATGTACCGCTTTTAAAAATTGGCTGAAGACTTTAACCATTATTGGCATTGTCTCCATGATGATCAAGTTGTTTGTGTTTTGACTGATTGGCGTCCTAGGACTATAGAAGGTAAATTCTTAGAATTTTATGTACGAAACATATGGAAAAATTTATCAAACTATTTTATCTACCATTTTATTTGTTAACTAATTTATTATTTATCTTCAGGAGTTACACAATTGGTGGATCAGCGAGGTGTTTCTAGGTTTTTTTTCGATCTTCCTATCCCAGAGGTGTTTGAATTCAAGGATAATATGTAAGTTATATATCAGTGTCTTAAATTAAATTTGACAGATAATATCTATTCATCATATTGATGTATAACTTATGCAATTTTAAAATCATTTTTCAGCCCAAATCCACCGATTGAGATTAATTAATCTTCAAGCTCAAACCATGGCATCAAGTTGAAGGAGACAAGTTTCTGTTCTATTAGTACCCTTTTCGTTTATGTTACTTTTAAGTGTTATGTGTTATTTTATCAGACTTTATTGTCCTCTTCTTATTATGTTTTAGTACTTTTCAGTTTATGTTTTATTTTCGCTGGTTTTAGTACTTTTAAGTTTATGTTTTATTTTCAGTATTAGTGTTTGGATTTATTGAACTTCTCCCCAAACCATATTTGCAATATTATATTATTAGTTATTTCACTAACCCTTTTTAGTTGAAGCTCCAAAAATCTGATCGTTGGAACAGACATCATTGTTTTCCATGAAGTTACAATGTATCTGTAAATATGAAAAAATATACACATTAAAATTATGAAAGTGCATAGATATGAGATGAAACACGTAAATAATCTACATGTATGTTTATGAGGATTAAAATGCTTTATAAATCCTATGCTTCTATTATATATTAAGTATGTAAGTAATGTTTTTGTTTGGATATCGAGTATCTAAATACAATATACGTAAACTTAAATTAACAACTGAATATTAGATGATTGATCTCATTATTATTGTAAATCTACTTTTTAATTGTTCAATCTTTCGTTCCATCAAATAAATCTCAACAAATCCTGGATGCATATTGCTATCCAAAAAAAAAACAAATCTAATTATATATAACTACTCTTTCTGTTAGGATTTGAAAAACGTATATATCTAACTACCATATATGTTAACTTATATTAACCAGTTAATATTGACTGATTGATCTAATTATTATAGTAAATCTTTTTTTCGTGATTACATAAGCTATTTATTTACCAATTAACCTAGAAAAGTTTATTCGCCAAAACTAAAGTTTCTGATATTAACAAAAAGCTAATGAAGAAGAGGAAGGATGATCCCATCGGACGATTTCAAAGTCCAGAATCATCAAAGAAGAGTAAACATTGATTGACAGATGAAAATTCAGCAGCTAAAAGTACTATATCAAGCAATAGAACTCTATCAAGCAATAAAGATGGAACGTTGTTTTGAAATCAGTATTCAATAGAATTTTGGGAGATATTACCAATTTGCAGTCTGATGGGAGTTCACTTTCTCAATGTACTCCATCTGTCTCTTCCTCAGTTGCATCTAATCTGAAACAGAGAGATATCGCTGGTAAGTTAACTAATATTCACAATTGTTCTTATGTTCTACAATATAGAGCTTATTCACATTTTTGGCAAAATTATTCATTGAGACACTATTAAAATGCCTTTCTAATTTTACATTTGTTATGCACAATTATCCATTATCAGAAAAGGATACAAGAAAATCAGCGACAAAATCAATTAAAATGACCAAGAATAATGATCCTAATTACGAGAAGTTACTAATGACAGAAGGTATGTACTCTACTACATAATTTTAGGACTATGTTTATATTTTAACTGTTTTTCCTATTTCAACTACAGAAGAACATCAAGCATGTTTAGAAGATATTTATGATTGCTCGAGTCCTGAATGTACATCTGATGAGTACTCAGATGATGACAACGAAGAAGAAATAGGACTCGAGCATGATTTTCTAAGTACAGTGGACGAATTGAGAAAATTCAATATTGAAGTGAGCTTAAAAAAAGCTTCAAATAAGAAGAAGCAGGACTCTCATAATAGGCATGCTTCAGAATCAGTTGAATTAACTGGTAAATACTGATTATTTTACTATATTGTCAGATTAGGCACACCATTTACTTTAACTGCTCCAGCAATAAAATTTAATGAACTAACGTGCTTTTCTGTATTTCTAGGTTATGAAGATCTCGGAAATCCAGTATATGAATGTGACAAATGCGGAGCTATTTTCTGGTATGAGGAACGTATTAATAAATGGAGAAATTCTAAAAAACCTATTTTTACGATGTGCTGTTTGCAAAGAACAGTAAAATTGCCTTTCCTTAAGAATTCTCCTAATATTATTTTAGCATTGCTAACCAATGACGACGAAATAAGTTGACATTTTAGAGAGAATATCAGAGCTTACAACATGATTTTTGCTTTTACTTCTTTTGGTGGAAGTGTTGATCGTTGTTTGGCTAATGGTAGAGGACCAAATATGTTTCAACTTCAAGGTATGAATATGCATAGATTAGGTAGTTTGAAATCACTCGATGGTGACTATCCTAAATTCTCTCAACTATATATTGTTGACACGGAGAATGAAGTGCAGAACAGAGCTGAGATTCTGAGGTAATTTTCAATTTCTATATTTTTAATTGTATTTACCATATATATTTCTTAGTTAATCTTTATGGTTTGAATCAATTGTAGTAAGGGTAAAAACAAGGACACGGAAGGGAAGAAGAAGAACAAGTTGAGGAAAGAATTAATTGAAGCCCTGATGAAAATGCTAGATGCAGTAAATCCTTATGTAAAGGTTTATAGGAATGCTAGAGAGAGATTCAATCTTAATGATATTGAGACATTCCATATGAGGATTGTGGGAGATCGTCATGGAAATGATGGAATGACCTATAGCATGCCTACAGCTTCAGAAGTTGCTGCTTCGATTCCTGGTGATTTTCATATAGATATGCCACATCGTGATATTATTGTTCATGAACAGTCTGGTGATCTAAAGAGGATAAGTGAGATACACCCTTCTTACTTAGCATTGAAATATCCTCTAATATTTACTTATGGTGAAGATGGTTTCAGAACTGGGATTGAAAAAGGTTTCAGTGGATTGAACAAGACAGGGAAATCGAAGAAAATCAGTATGAGGCAGTTTTTTGCA